GCTTTTAAAGCTTTAATAGAAAGGATATCCATTTTTGACAAGTTAAGATTTTGAAAAATATCATGTAGTATTTTATACGAAGGATTACGGCGAACGTAAAGTTTAAGAGTCAAAGAGTAAAAGTTTAAAAAGTCAAAATCAAAAGGTTTCTCAGGAAATTCTGTCCTAAAGTTTAGTGTTTCGTTAATTTTGTTTTAACGTTACAGCACAGACTTCCTGTGAATAACTACTAGAACTATGAGAAATACTGATTCTACACAAAACTCTATTTTTTTAAAAGGGCAATAAATACTTTCCTGANCCCATCAGAAAATAACAACAAAACGAGTACTCCTTCTCGAGACCCTGCAGGTTTATAAAAAAATGTCCAGTGACCGACTGACAACAGCGGGGAGGGTCAGCTCGAAACAGGCAAACATATTAAATTTGCCATGACGTAATAGAGGCAAAATCAGGAAACATCCTTTTGCTTACATACAAACACGCTCACTCTTCACTGGAAGCTCAGCTGTAAATGACAAACTGTACAGGAAAAAACACTGTTTATAAAAAGAATGCCGGGAAAAGCACAGGAAAGACTGGAGTTATTTTTCTCTAAGTAACTTTCACAGTTTTACCCTTTTTTCATTTAGTTTCTTTATAGATAACAACAATTATTACAAGAAATTACAAGAATCTAAAATCATAAATAATAAATATCTTTCAGAGAGAACAGTTTTCTACAATCTGGTGACAATCAAACAAGAGATCTTAAAATATATATATATATATTTTTAGATCAATAACAAAAAGCACAGAAAAAAGGTAAGAGCAACTGAAAGAGTGAAAAACATCCTCATTACAGATTTAGGACAAAAACAAACCTACAATCTTTTTGTCAATTATTTTAAAATTAAACAGTTCAAGAAATAAACAGAGCTGTTACTGTGAGTCTGTTTTATTTTTGATTATCTTCTCATTTTCTTTGAACAGCAGGAGGAAACAGCAGCTCAAAAAAAATGTAAATATCCCCTCAAGATCATAAAAAAATCTAACTGTTTTTGCTTAAAAACAATAAATAAAGGATAGTTTCAGTGTTTCTGTTTAGATTGTCCTAACATTTCACAGCTTTGCCCATACAAACAACTAACTGTCATTCTTGTCCTATTAAATTTTTTGCATTCAGCTAAATAATAATAATTAGCGTAGCGACATGAAGCAGCAGTAACTGTTTCATGCTACGTTCACNGAACGAGCCATCAGAATCACAGTTATCCACGAGGGCAGCATTTTTGATGCACAAATAAACAAAGTAAAGAAAAACACCCACTTTGGACCTTAGTCTTTTGAGTGTAAAACACACCAGTCGCACCTGTTCTCCTATGTTTGTTATGTTCTGTCTTCTTCTGAATGGGTGTTCTGAACAGTAATTTCATTGTGGTCTGTACAGTGACAATAAAGGTCTAATCTGCAGTGTTTTCATCACTAGGAAAATTAATTCTGCAGCTTTAAATTGGAGCTAGTCTGTCCTTCCAGTATAAAAACAGAACAAACAACCCTAGATCACTTTTTTTTAAATCCACTAATCCGTAACACTCATTTATATAAATGAATAAACATCTGGAGAAGAAACAGCAGAACCTGCAGCTCAGGGAGAATCCCTCCAGGTTCCTGTGTGTTTCTGGAACCCACGTCCCTCCGGACACATTTAGGTTTGTTACAGATAATCAGCGGTGTGGGGCTCTCAGGTGAGCGCTTCATTCAACTGAAAGCCTCCCAGGTGGACAAGCGCCTGATAATTACTGAAGCACCATGCAAACAAAGGGAGTGAGGTGCCTTCAAACACTTCCAGCACAGCCAACTAGAGCCCCTGCAGGATTTAGAGGGAAGATTTTATGCTGTGCAACCATTACACCTGAAAAACCAAAAAAGTGGGGGGAGAGAGGAGCTCTTTGAGAGACGTAGAGTCTAACTTACTGAAGGGAAATCAAAGTCCTTCTGGTTTACTAGACCCAGGACGTATTCGACCCGGAACTGGTTTGCAGAACAGGCTAACTGGCAGGGAGGCGTTAGTGTGTTCATGGCAGCCACGACGGTCTGCGTGGAGGGATCAGAGGAAGAAACGTTCATTTGTTAGAATAAAAAAACAAAAAACAAATAATGAATGTAACAATAAGATCCATTTCTTACCTCTATAGCTTCTTTTATGTTGTTTTTAATATCATGAATTTTCTGTTTTTTCTCCCTGTGAGCAACAAACAGAATACATTTGAGATTTTACAGGCAAATACTAATATATGCTAATCATTTTTAACCAAGAAGGTAAATAGTGACATCACAGTTCAACAAGGTTTTTAAAAGAAAGAGCTCTAAAGGGTTAAAATGACTCCAAACTAAGTGTAAAATGATGATTTGTTTCTGTTGCATTAGTGGGTTTCAGTTTGAAATGTGCTGCGCAGAAATAAACTTCTCCTGGAACTCTTCATCAGCCTGGAGGTAAATTATACCTGACATCATTGTTACGGCTGCTCCACACACACCTTTCTTCTGCTGAGTAAGGACAGGGTTCCTACAGCTTAAGGAAAGTTAAATTTAAGACTTTTTAAAACCTCTTTAATGCCACTTGAAATTTAAGACCAACTTCATCATAAAAAAGTGTAAAAAAAATGTTAGTAACAATTTTAGCCGAATGTTTATTTTTACACAAAACAACTGGCTGCAAGAGGTATTCAGTAAATTACTTAAATATCTAAATAAATGTTACCAATTATTTTAATATTTGAGAAGAATTACAATCATATTTACTTATAACGTGTTCACATTTTTAAGACCTTGAAAAGACTGATTTAAGACACTTTAAGACTAATTAAGGTATTTTTAGATTGGGGAATTCAATGCCTTTTACGACTTTTTAAGGACAGGAACCCTGAAGAATTAACTTTTTCTGTACTTATTGATTAGGGTTGGGCAATATTGGCAAAAAAATAAATCACGATTAATTGTGGTATTTAGCCGATAACGATTAATTTGACGATTAATCCCCTGGAGTCCCTGGACACCCTTATTTCATAGTCAAGTGACCAATTTAGTGGGAAAGATTTGCTCTTCATAAAAATCTGTTCCAAATTGTGTCAAAATTACAGACTTCAGATTATACATCAAATTTTAAATTGTGTTGATAGATAAATAAGTTACAGAACTTTTTTTAATGTTCGTCATATTTGAAGCTGAGAGGAGCAGCGAGCGGATTCTACCTGTTGGCATTAATCTTATTAATTGTCAAGTGCCAAAAATTAATCGATTAATGTTTTTCTGACAATTAATCACACATGATACGATTATGCCCAACCCTATTATTGATACAAAATGAGGAAAACAGATATTTGCTTGACTTTGATACAGTGTACAAGGTAAAGACATAAAATTTGGTAGAGTTGTGAGAATAAAATATTAGCAAATGCATCCTTATGCGCTGTATTTTACCCCTTTATTTGTTAAAACACAATTAAAGCATCATTATCCAACGTGGCATTTTCCATCACAGTCCAGGTAAAACAGAGCTGGGAGCTGAATTCTTACAAAAGTTCAGACGGAAGACAGAAAAAAAATGGCTTTTTAAAAACACTTTGTTTTACTCCAATTTTCAGAAAACTTTTTCAGAACAATCCTAACCTAGAGCTAAAAAAGGTTATAAATTATGATTACCGTACTTTTAACATCTGTTCACTCAAGAAACTTTATTATCTACGATGCTATTAGACTTTTATTAACAGTGACTCAGCTGTTGTCAGACTTTAAATTAGATTACCACAAGTGAAGAAAAAATAAATAATCACCCTGATGACCTCTGTTTTCTCAAAGGGTGGAGAGGTTTAATGTCTCAGCTGACTGCAGAGACAAAAACTACCCCTCCAATCTCATTAAAAAATAACTTAACTCACTTTAACCATATTGAACTGCTTAATTATCTCTACCCTATACTACTCATTAAGCATCATCATCATCCTCCTCTAATAAAACCTGCCACATGCAACAAGTTGAACAGTTTGATCCATGAATTTCCTCAAAGAAATGTCCAAAAAATAACTGATTCTATCAAACAATGGAAATGTAGAAATAAACATACAACCAAGTAAGCTCTTACCTGTAAATTCTTTTAGAGTTTCTCCATAATAATCAGAATTTTGTGTGTTTTAGTGGCGTTTATAAGGAAGAAGTAACTTTTCTGTTCTTTCCGTTTAAAGGTGATGGTTCAAAACAAGCTCATTTTGTAAATGTGTTGAATGAAAACTAAAATGAAAAAGCAACACTTACTCTGCATTGAAGCCATTCACATGCAGTATTCGCATCTGCTTGACTATTGTACTTTTCCCCGATTCTCCAGCTCCTGAGAGATAAAAAAAAAAAAAAAAAAAAAAAAAACAACCAAGAACATAAGAAGCCAGAAAACAAGTTAAACAAATCCAAGACGGATCAGTAAAAGACGCCGGGACAAGAGTTCTTGTTGAGGAGTCGCATTTAACATGGAGTGCTCAGATTTATTTCTTGATTAAACGATTCAAACTTTGGGTTTCTGTTTATCAAACGCAGAGGTCTTTTCTGTTGCAGAAAAACTTTTTTTTTCCTGTCATAAACTCTCTGACTCCTGCAGAAACGTTCCCACACAGCTGCAGACGAGCAGTACGGCAGCCAGAGGGAGGCTGAAGAGTAAAAACCTGGTTACACGCAAAAACAGCAGCTAAAACACAACACAGCAAGTTTACATCCTTACTTCTTATGTAGAACCTTTTATAGCAGCGCTCCCGCTAATTCAGGGCTATTCAACTAGCGGCCTGTGGGCCACATCCGGCCCGAGACAGACCAAAATTCGGCCTGCCAATTGGTTCATTCATCTCTTCAGCCCAAACCCCCAGTTTTCTACTTTAGATCCTCTGATTTCTTTTAAACATAGACATGTTTGGTATCTAGAAACACCAGAATCTTGGCTACAAGCTGGTAAAAACCATTTCTATGAATATCCAAGACAGTTAAAATTACAAGCAGTTGAAGATAAAATTATGAAAGTGAAAATAAAAATGGTCTAAAAATTTGGCAAGTCAGAGATGTTAAAATATTTGTGTCAAATAGAAGGCATAATGTGTTATTTTTGTTTTTTTTATTATCGCTACTTTTATATTGTTCTGAATGTTGTATTCACGATTAATGTAGCAAAATAAACTATTTCAAAGGTAATAGATCTTTGTAATTCTTAGTTTATTTACATAATGACTTTAATTGCTGGATGTTCGACCCCTCAGCTGTTGGCCTGCAGTAACTGTGGCCCCTGGAGTGATTTTGCTGAATAGCCCTGCGCTAATTTAATCTCAAACAACGCAAATAGTTGTCTTTTGATCTCACTTTCACTGGCTTGACTCCTTAATTCAGAAAATGCAGGACTGAATTACCAAAGATTAGGTCAAACTTCACCCTAAACCAGCCACAGCGATTCTTTGAAAGCTTATTAATGCATTGGACACGACGGAGACAAGAAACGCAATCGATCAAAAATAGAGACAAATGTTCCGCTTTGGATTAACGCGCCTCATTCAGGACAGGTGTATAATACAGACATGCCAAATGCCTGTGAATCTGGGGTTTAAAAATAGTCTTAAATGTGTCCTACTGGGCTAAAAATGAAAAACCTCAACACCTCTAAACACTAGCTGGCCTGCACGCCTGCTATTTAGAGGTGGAGCATGTGTGTGTGTGTGTGTGTGTGTGTGTGATTCTCGAATTACTTCCAGATTAAAACGAGCCAGACGGGCTTTAAGGGGAAGCTAGTAATCCAAATAGTAATCCTAATTTGCACTGCGAGCTTTAACAGGATACTAGATTTAACGTGAACACACAGTAGCACGAAACCCCACATTAAAGCCTAAAAATAGCGACGCTCTCATTTGGCTGACTGGGGACTATTTATCCCCAGAAAAGGTGAGTGTGGAGAGTGATTTGAAAAAATAAATAAAGTAGGGCCCCCGGGATCCACACTGTGAACACGAACACAGCAGATCAGGAAAAGAAAAGCAGTGTGAGGAAGGGAGAAAGGCATCTGCGTGGTGCCTTCACACACATGGTGGTGTCTGTTCTCCCGGCTCTGCCATGGGCCTCGGCGGCTCTGCCATGGGCCTCGGCGGCTCTGCCATGGGCCTCGGCGGCTCTGCCATGGGCCTCGGCGGCTCTGCCATGGGCCTCGGCGGCTCTGCCGTGGGCCTCGGTGGCTCTGCCATGGGCCTCGGCGGCTCTGCCGTGGGCCTCGGCGGCTCTGCCATGGGCCTCGGCGGCTCTGCCATGGGCCTCGGCGGCTCTGCCATGGGCCTCGGCGGTGACCCCTGGGCGCAGACGGGCCCTGATCTCCCAAGCAAAAAGTGGAGGCATCCTGGGATCATAACGCCCTGTGTGTTCTCTGAGGAAGCCTGAAATAACGTTTGTCAGAAACACGATCAACATTCAGAAACCAGTGTCTTCAAAAGCACCCACCTAACAGCAGCAGCCGGTGAGTGGCCCGGTAGATCTGCTTGTCCTTTTGGAGCTGCTTCTCTATCTTTTTGTTGGCCTCTCTCTGTGCCTTCTCCTCATTTCGCTGGTCTTCGGTCTTACTGTTCCCCAGACAGCCCATCTTCCCAAAAACCCACTGATGAGGTTCAGTGGGGGGGGGGATGAGAGTAAGATGGGAGGAAAATCAGATCAGTCAATCCTAAATTCCCCAACTGGACCACCAGATGAACACCTGGCTCAAAATGAGTGACATTTATGTATCCGGTTGAGACAGAAGCCAGGTAGTAGACAGTGTTTTGTCTCAGTGTATGGGATGTGGTTTGATAGCAGCAGCTCTCAAAAGGCTTGATTCCTGTGGTTTCTTCTTTTTTTACTGTAAATCCGCAATGAAGTCATCAACGCTGATTTTTGAGAGTGAATGCCAAATTTCCAACTCCTGGCTGCACATGAATGAGATTGTCCAGATTCCCTTTAAAAAAAAGGAAAGAAGGAAAAAAGAAGGAGGTTTTCTTTAAAATCTAAACAAAATGATTAATTTTCACGCCTTGACTCTGTCAGCAAATGTCTCCTCCGGAGCCCATCTTCACCAGATATGTCTCCCAGTGCCATTCAGTCCATTCCCCCCATCAACAGTCCTTTAAAGATAGACTGAATGGTTTTTTAAATGTCTGTTTTAAAATTACAAACAGATTACAGGTGGGTAAAATAGAATGATTAAAAAAAGAAAAATGTTTTCTCTTAAAATGACAGCATGTGATTCATCATCTGGCTACACCGGGGCTTCCAAATCCCCCCTCACATTTTATTCTGTTTAAAATAAGGGTGACGTTGTTGCATGTCAGCCTTATCTTTATTATTCTGTTTTTAGTCTGTGTCAAAATGAACTCATCTGGTTAAAAGATGCTGGTGTCTGCTTTAACCAGACCTTAAAAAAAAGAAGAAGATGGGCCTCTGCTTTCTCTGTCCTGTCCCCCTTTTATTCCTCCTCACATCGGAGACCTTCTCCGGCCGAGCAGAGGCGGCGGCTTGTCGGCAGCTGGATGTCCTTCACCGCAGCGCAGTCTCCAGGTGATAGTCGGGGGAATCCTCCGTTATTTCCCCCCACCGCCGCGTTTGGCGCAAGCACGGTCCACTGTCAGGGCTCTCGGCTTTTCGTATTCCCTCCGAATCCGTGTGGTGGCAGGCTGCGGTTACATGTGCATGATACATGAACATACCGCGGTGTTTTCAATCACTCATCCAGCGGAGGGACAGCTTTTTATTCCGGCGCCGACAGGCCGCGTCCGCTCCGGGGGGAACCGGTCAACTGTGTGAGAGTCGCTTCCTTGGATGGATTTCTCTGAATTATTTTTGCCCCCCTTTTCTTTTCTGGTTTTTTTTTTTCTCCCAGAGAATTGCACACTGAGTTGGATAGCTTTGAAAAGGTGGGGTGGGGCAAACGGGCTCTCACGGAACCCTGGGAATGAAGAAGCATCGTCAAGTTTTTCCATTACAACCAGCTTCTCTTCCGGTTGAGACTTTCACAATAAGAAAATTAATTAACATTATAAAACAGTTATTTCTCATGTCCATGTAAAATTAAAATAGAAAGGCAGATTATAGTAACAAAAGTGCAAAGAAGCCAAGTTAAAGAATGTGTCAAATAATATACAAATATTAGAAAATCAACAGCACACACATAATAAATAATAATAAAACAATAATAAAATTACCATAAAAATGATACAAAATACAAGTTTAGAAATTAACCTGAATACGTTAAAATGTTATATCACATTTTTGTCTTCCTTGCACTTAACAAGCTAACACCCTAAAGTTCTTAACACAAAAAATGCAAGCCTTCAACAAAAATGTGAATAGGTTAAAAAACGCAAATTTCTTTTAAAAAACTAAATTATTTTTTATTAATAAACATAAATTGGTTTAAATAGAAGTGTAAACAAGTTTGTATATGTATATGTTCAGTGTTAAATAAATCAATTTTGACACACAAAAAATTGCAAGATTAGACAAGCCCAGCCCTTTTTTTTTTTTTTTACAAACTGGCATTTTATCATTAGGTTTTATAATTGAATTATAACCGGAATTAAGGTATGTGGCAAAATAAAATCATACAAAAACAAAACATCAAAATACATTTTCTATTTCCAGTGATCCATCTAAATATTTACCTCATAGTGGACCTGTGGGATTAGTTTCCTGAGAGATAAATGCAACAATTAGATGAAATCCATCTAATGACTGCAGAGATTAAACATCACAGTCATAATCATAAAAGTACTGACTCATTTCAGCCACAAGCCGAAGAGTCTGCAAATAACAAGGAAAAAGTATCCAAAGGTAACAGTTTTTGTCTATGTTAAGTTGTCTTATGTCCTTGTCATTTATGACCTATTTTAGATTACAAAAATTAACTCAGATTTTTCTTTTAACTTATCTTTTTTTTTTTGGTGTTACTGATGGAAAATTTAGCATTTCTTTTTCCCATATATATATATG